CAACGATGGTCAAAATGTTTGGATACCCAAATCACACAGTAGAATATGCACAGTGCATTTTGTCGATGGAAAACCAACATTAAAAAACCCATATCCGACACTCGTGATGGGCCACGATGATATAAAGACCCCAAGAACACCTCTGCAAGTTAGAAACACTGCCGGTATTTTAAAAACTAGTATTCAAGTTGATCAAGATTGTCGAGGCCTGAAAAATCCAACACCCACACAGCTAGGGAAGATTACTAACATTGACCATACATATAAATTCGCTTAAATATCCCCCCCCCCCTCAGGTGCAAGGGGCACAGAACAGATGAGTCTTTTTATTTAAAAAAAACAATATTTTTATTCATTAAATCTGAATTTGGATTGGGGAACGGCTATGCCTATGTGTAACCCATCTCACTGATTTAGATACATGTACACATTATAAATATTTACATACATAATTACATAAATATAGTGCATATATGATACATCATGGATAATATAGAGACTTATATGATTATACAGAGTGCAGGGCTTGGAATGATTTAAGAGTTGTTTATGGAGATTTAAATCTTTTTGATAAGAAAATAAATTGTTGGACTTCTTGGAAAATAAGTGTGGTTATCTCTGGACTAAGTTTTGTTGACCCATACAACAGACAACTGATTGTTTTATGATTACGTTGAAGGTTATGGATTGTCCGTTTTCTTGCATCTGAATATAAGTGGCATACGAGTAAATAGTGTTCGGTATCTTCGAATTTGTGACCACAGAGGCAAGCAGGGCTATCATGTCATTTTCGTATCCCTGTATAGTAATATGATGTTTATGTTCACTTACTTCTTTGATTTGTACCTGGTTCATAAATAATGGTGGGTTAACTATGTGGGGTTTAGTAGTAATAGTCAGTGTCTCTGTTTTTAGGGGGTTAAAAGTTACCAGCCATGTCTCAGCCCAATTTCTGATTCGATTTAAGTCATCGTTAATGGTAGCAGCACTTGCCTGTGGGTCTTCAATTTTTAAGTATAAAGAGGTATCGTCAGCAAATAATCTAATGTTTGAATTTATATTGTTCACAATATCATTTATGTATATTAAGAATAAAAGAGGGCCTAGTACAGATCCCTACGGAACACCAGCAGGAATGCTTCTGGGGTCCGAGGAGGTGCCACTGATGGTTACACATTGTTGTCTATTTTTTAAATAATCTACGAACAAGAGCAATAGATCTCCTCGAACCCAAGCAGCATCCAGCTTGTGACAGAGCACGGCATGTCAAACCCTGTCAAAGGCCTTGCTGATGTCACAGAAGACTATTATAGTATATTGATGTTGGCCAATGGCTCGACAGAAGAAGTGTGTTAGGTTGATTAGTTGAAATGTGGTAGAATGGAAGAAAGCCACTCTGGACAGGTGTTAGTATTGAGTTATCTCTAAGGAAGTTAAAGACATGTTTGTGGATGAATTTTTCAAAACATTTGACTATTATACTGAAGAGGGAGATTGGTCTATAATTACTACAATCGTTTGGAGAGCCTTTTTTGAATATTGCGACCACGTTTGCAAATTTTTAAATGTTTGGTACAATGTGTAGATCTAATGATAGTTTAAAAAGTTGGCAAAGTGGATGACTGATTTGTTTTTGAGATGTATTTTACAATTCTCGCGTTTATTTCGTCAGGTCCTGAGGCTTTTGTGGTATCTAGGCTGTTCATAACAAGTAGTGGTAGAGCTTTATTAGTGTCATCTAGTCGTGATTGTTTGATAAAGAATGAGTTTAAAGCATTTGCTTTTTCAGATTGGTTAAACAACGTGTTACCATTGACTGTTAAGGGCGGAGGTTCGTTTGTAGAAGCAGCGTGTGTTTTAGTATATGAATTAATAAGTTTCCACCAGGTTTTTGTTCCAAAGTTTTCTGTGTCACTAATTTGTTTGTCTATTTCGTCAAAGTAATCATTTTTGCTTTTTCTAATTAAGTCTATCTAGTCATTTCTAATTTTCCTGAAATTTTCCCAATCACAGTCTGAGTTCCTATTTACCGCTTTTTGTGTAATCTATTTTTCTTCTTTTTCATACGTCTTATTGCGCCATTCATCCAGGGTTTATCATGTTGCCTAATTGTCACTAGTTTGCATCGCATATTTGCTTTTGCTATAATGATCAATGAGCTTGTAAATTGGACACACGATGCTTCTATATTTGAACAATTGATAAGATTGCACCATTTAGTAGCTATAACGTCCCTTTTTATGCCCCCAAAGTCTGCGTTTTTGTAATTCCATACCGTTCGCTTGAAGCTATGTTGTTTTTGTACGTTAAATGCCAATTTGCAATATACCGGACAGTGGTCACTACAGAAGTTGTCAAGTACACCATTTTCAGTTGTTCGTAATGTAGAGCTGGTTAATATCAAGTCTATTAAAGAAGTGTGGTTTTTGCTGGAATAATGGGTAGGTTTATTTATCAGCTGGGTAAGGTCGAATATATTTATAGCATCGTAAATAAAACTTTTAGATTTTTTTAACATATCAATATTAAAGTCACCTAAAATTATGCATTTGTCCAAGGGGTCGGTTATAGCGTTTTGAAGTGAGTTAAATATTTGTTGGTTTGTACTAGATGTTGATGAGGGTGGTCTATAATAATTGCCAAGTAAACATTTGTGGTTGTTACAATTTACTTCTATCCATATAGACTCTATTTCACTGTTTTCTAGATCAGCCCTGCGTTTGAACGATATGGAATTACGAACGTAAATAATAAGTCCTCCCCCATGATTATTTCTGTCTTTCCTAATAGGAGGGTAGTAAGAAGGTAAAGAAATTGATTCAGATGTGGTATTTCTATCGAGCCAGGTTTCACTAATTGTTATGATGTCAAAATGTCTTAGTTCTACAGCTATTAAATCAATTTTGGTTTTGAGGCTCCTTACATTCAGTTGAACAATTATGTATTAATAAAGCGGGTCCTGGATTTAGTTCGATGTCTCCTGACAATTTTAACAACGTGTATATTATAAGGGTAATTGAGAACAAAGCATTTGCACTAAGTGTTACATGTGTAAGCTTCCTATTAGGAAAATTATTCAACTTGTGCTTATATAGTGATTCGGATGTTGGGTCTTCAAAAGATAGTCCTGAGATTTGACAGTATTGCAGGTGTTTGTTTAGGCGTACGTGGTATTGTAATTGCTTGTCGTAAATGTAGTTGTCTCCAAGGGTATAGTATATAGGGATTGACAGTTTTCTTCAGTTCAGAAAGTATTTTATGTATTAAACTAATATGTTTCAATATATAATTGATAAAATCAAATAAACGTAAATACAAGTCGTAAATAAAGGTGTAAAACAATACAACATATACTGAGCGCCATGGAAAACGCATCACTTAGTTTTTCGTATAACAAAATGATCCTGTAAACATATCTTATTTATTTTGCTTCTTATTGTGAACAATATTCAAATGGGAACACATCAATAACAACACATTTGTACACTTATGGATGTTTAATCTGTAATCAACGGTACAAAGTCAGAGGGGTTAAAACCAAAAGTACGACACAGATGTCAGTAGCGCGTGTGTCCTCCACGGGCTCTTACGCACGCTGTGCAGCGACGTCGCATGGAATTTACCAATGTTTGAAAGAAGGCCTGGGGCAAATTGTTCCATTCCTGGACAAGAGCAGCTTCTAAAGCAGCAATGGTGTGCATCTGTGGTCTCCGATACAGACGGCGCCCAATCTCACCCCAGGCATGTTCTATCGGTGCCATGTCCGGAGACATGGCTGGCCAGTCCAAGACATTGATGTTGTTAGCAGCCAGGTAGTCCATACTAAAACGGGTGGTATGCGGACGTGCATTATCCTGTTGGAAGTGCTGAAGTTGTGGGTGCGCTCGAAACATCGGAACAACAATTGGTGGCAAGACATCATCACGGTAGGCTACAGCATTAACGCGACCCCTGCAAATGTGTAGGGCGGTCCGGTGATGAAATGTGAAGCCTCCCCACACCATTACACTCCCCCCACCCCATCGATTCGTTTCGAAGACGCAGCAGTCTGCAAGACGTTCCCCAAGACCTCTCCACACACGTTGACGGCCATCAGCGTGATAAAGATGAAAGCGACTCTTATTACTGAAGAGCCCACTTTGCCAGTCTACTCTTCTCCATGTCTGATGTCCTTGACCCCATATCAAACGCCGCTGACGGTGATGATCCCTGAGGACAGCTCCAACATAAGGTCGTCGTGCACGGAGTCCTACTTCTCTTAGACGACGTCTTACGGTGTTGGCACTTACTGGTCCTTGTCTTCCGACGACTGCTGCACCTGTTCGAGTCGCTGGGCGGAATCTGTCACGCCGATGAGTGACCCGGATGTAGCGGTCTTGAGCCTGGGTTGTAACTCGTTGTGGACCAGCACGTGTTGATCCAGTAACTCAAACACGTTCCACCAACCTTACAATAGGGGACTGATGACAATTGAAGTGTCTGGCAATAGCACGTGTAGACATGCCATGGCTTCATTCCGTTGATTTTCAGTAAGTCTCGGCATCTCTAGCTCGATTCCTTCACACGTCCAACAACAAATTACGACAGATTGACGTTTCACAGTTCATGTACTGCACATTAAGTTGAAAACATGCTTTTAAAGGGCTCACACACAATGCTGCACGTGAATATTGGGTTTTTCATGTGCATCTCGTGCAATTTTTTTTTTTTTGCACACGGGCCGATATTTTTTGCGTTTAGGAGCATTGTGTTAAACAATAGTTCATAGTATTGCATAATATTATACATACAAAACCATCTAGTAATAAAATATTTGGGAAAAAAAAGTGATGCGTTTTCCATGGCGCTCAGTATATGTACATGTATATATACATGGCTGCGAATAGAAAGGGTGAGTGGTTCAGGTTTCTACATTGTTCACTGAGATTTAAGTGAGTATTAAGTGTTACGGGAGATGGTTATGCGTCTAGATAAACAAGTCTACTTGATCAGTATCCTGCATGAAATTGGCAGTATGCCACCAACGTGGTTAATCTGGGTCAACATTGTTTGAAGGGGGACATGGTTTACTGTTCTGGAGTGAGTAAATAACTGTTTCTAATCTAATGTTTTGTGTATGACAGATGGAGTTATAACTCTTTCGTGTGTGCATATTATACTTACCTCTTAGCTCTTGTTCTTTAACGGTGGCTAAGTGGGTAAGGCGCTAGCCTGGAGGTCGGGTGTTCGATCCCTGCATTGGCCGAGAAAGTTCATCCAGATTTTCCGGCGTGGTTTCCCCATTGCCAGTGATGCAGGACGGAGGGCCTGTCTAGTCATTCGGATGACACGAAAAACCGAGGTCCCATGTACACATTGGCGTGCACGTAAAAGATCCCTTGACAGTTGGAATTCGATATAAGAGTAGGCCGTAGTGCCGCTGTCCGGGCAAAAATTTCCCTCATAGCACACTGTATGGCGTATGCCCGTCTTCATTATCCCAGTTCGGAGCAAAACAGTAGGACGTTAAATTTCATTTCATTTAATAATACTTACCTTGGAAACAGAATGGCCTATGAGTATGGGATTATGATGAATGAGAAAAACGTAGGAATAGATCTTATTATTTTTGGTGCCATTGCCGTCTATCGGCAATTTAAATTTATAAATTTGTATTTAGGACCAGCGTGACAAGCGGGGGAGGGGCGTGGGTATTCGTCTGCCTATTGACGAATTGTACAATATATATTTTTATATTAAAAAGAAGTCCGACACGGTAGATGTTATGTTTGTGTATAGGCCAATTGTTGTGGGCCTTTTGGTGTGTGTGTATATATGTGTGTGTGTGTGTGTGTGTGTGGGTGGGTGTGTGTGTTTATGTGTGTGTAGGGTGGGAGAATTAGGTGTGTAATATTGGATTCTATTGTTCTTTTTAAGATGAACATTTTCATACTAAAATGAACTTTTAGAATAAACTCTCAGTTTCAATGTAAGGATTGGCATAATGCCAATTTTAAGTTTGATAGCAATATGAACAATATAAAATATGAGCAATAAAAAATAAACTGGTATTCTAATAAACTGTTGGCAGATCGATCCATAGAGACTGACAGTCATTAAGATTTATTTCATAGTAGGGAGTAATTCGAATGATTTCGAAAGGCCTTAATTATATTATAACTTTAACTTGAATTTGAATTTTATTTTGTAGGTTAAAAATGTTAATGCATCTTTAGTCGCTATGGATTTATCAGTGGAGGAAGGAAGTCTAAAGTACAGGTAGGAGACACATTTACAAATTACATAGCATAGGGTAATAATAAGAGCACTTTAATACTCCATTTTTGTAACAAAACGTGGACTTTTGGATTGATTCTTGGTTTTAGAGAATAAGCTTCAACATATAAAATATCAATTTGACATTATCACTTGGAGACATTATCACTTATTACATAGTAAGGCATAGTTCAAAAGATTTCGAAAGACTTTGTTGGATTAATAATGTTAACGAACTACACATAAGTCAACTCAAGGTACTAAGCAAGTATATTTTACATTGATGCTTAATTTGGATTTTGTTTTTTAGGTTGAAAATGTTAAGTGTCTCTTTGGTATTGCCATGGATTTACATGCATCAGTATGAATTTGGCAATCAAGTACAGTTCATAAGCAAACATGAAGGCCAAATAAGTCCTTTGAACTGGGTAAAAAGTAAGATCATTTGGTAACATTTGATTTCAGATATTGATTTGTTTGTTGTATGACAGGCTGCACAGAGAATATTCCCTATTCATCTAACAACAATACACTAATATCTACTTAATTGTCACCCATGTCAAAGAACTTTCGTTCCTTTAGTCAGTATAATACATTATAGAGATAAATATTGGGTATTATTCAAAAATATTGCATGTATTAAAACAGTTCAAATTTCTAACTCAATCTACATATTCAACAGTTGGTATGATTAGGGGTTGATTTGTGACAACAAAGTTCGATTGTCTTGCATAGACGTATTTCAACTTGATGTTGTAGGTAGTCAAGGGTAATATTACAGCACATTTCTACCTTTGACCAGAAGTCAAAGACACAATTTTGGCATTTCTGGCTTGTTAATATAGTAGTACTGGTCAATCGCTGATTAAGGGCGCTGTGCATGGAGATTATAGTATGAGGCTTAATTTGCATTTTATTTAATAGGCTGAAGATGTTAGCATCTATTAATCGATGCGGTTTTAGCTGGCCGAAGGTGAAAGATTAAATACAGATAGAAACACATTGCATATGATATACAGCAATTATATTTTTGTAGGGCTAGATACTCTTTGACCTGTGTTACAAGGATTTTAAGCATTGGCTAGAATATTGGTTTTGAAAAACCTATTTATCATTGTTAAGACATTGTCATTTATTTCCTGCTGGCCTAACATTGTTGGACAAAGGCTATACTTCTTTGTAATACAAGTCAAACAAGTTTAGCTCCTCCAAATAAAATGGAAACATTATTTTGTGGTGACATATATGATACATTTTCCCTCAGGAATTTGCACATAGATAAGTAGTGGATACTAGTCAAAGCTTGAGCTCTTAATATGCAATAAATTCTATAATTAGAGGCTGTTTTCTATGAACTTGTTAGACAGGATTATTCTGAGCTGTTTCATGTACAAGAGCTTAAACTATTAGATTTCCTAAAACTTATGTGCATTTGCAACAGTTAGTAGGTTAAGGGTTTTATGACTATGTATCATCAAAATAGGGCTATCTTGCATGTACTTATTTTAGCTATGAGAAGTAGAATTCAGTCTAAGGCACCATGGGGCTTTAGACATTAGACAGAAGACACCTAGTTTATGCAGTGTTTCATACATTAACCTATTTTGGGCTTTTCATGGCCAGGGCATTTTTTAGTTTCAAGATGTTTATAATTTATTTTCATTTACATTTGCAATTTGTTAGACAGGCTTAATTGGATATTAGTATTTTTATTTATTTTTTTATTTTTTTTTTCGGGATGATTTATATATGAAATAATCTATTTTGTAGGAAAATTTGTAAAGACACCGGTACAGTTACTGTTGTGGAAGTTTATTGGGCCATATCTTCAGGTGGGTCAGTGGTAATACCATTTAATATGTCAAAGTGAAGAAGTTCCTATGGAGTTGGTTTATAACCAGGAATCTCAATTGCACTGAATATTCGTTTAGTTTGTCCATCAGAACCATCAGGTTTTCTGATTCGAATAAAGATTTTACCATCTCTGGCCCAACAAGAGTTGTTGTGATTTGCCTTGTAAGATCTCCGTGCTATGTTGAAGACCAAGGCTCTGTACTTTTGTAAGATCTTCATTAATGAATATATCATTTTTTACCCCGTTTACAACCTTTTTGCCCCTCAGTATAGCAACCTTGGTCTTGTAGCTAAATAGTCTTACTATAATACGTTTAGGTTGTCCCCTGTGGGCTTTTCCAACACGGTGGCTATTTTCGATGTCATGTGTTGTAATGTTTGGTATTATCTTTCTTAATACAACCAAGGCTTCATTTTCAACAATTTCATCTGCAGTTTCTTTAATGCCACTGATGCGGATACAATTGCGCCTGCCATATTGTTCGAGATCATCGCAGTGGTCTTGTATGATACCATTTAGCTCAAGGGAAACTGATGCCAACTCAAGTTTTAATTCTGATATTTCCTTTTTAAGTGGGGTGGTGTGTTTGATGATTCCTTCTTGCAGAATAAGTTCCACCATGGGTCTGAAGGCATTTTGGACTTCTGGATTCTGGAAAGCTCTTACCAATTCAAAGGGTTACAGCATTTACTGTATTCATGAATACATCATCTGCCAGTGGGCTTGGTGGGGACGGGGTGGGTATGTCTGTGGTGTCAGTCATGGGTGTTGAACAGGCACTTATTGTATTTTCTTGATATTCTAGGCTGGTGTTATTGTCTGGATCAGCTGAGGGCAGGGTAGTGGAGGACATGAAACTTGTAATTTGGCTTTGCTGTGGTTGTGTTTTGCTTTTTTTTTCAGGTTGCTGTCCAGTATACCAGATGACAATAGGAGTTCTGTCTGGATTTGGAGTGGAGAACTTGTTTGTTTCGTTTCCTACTGGCCTTGTCCCGCCTCGGGGTAGACATGGGTTTTATGCGTTTTATATTTGCTGTTAAATAAACGTTATATACTGGAAAAAACTTTAGTTTATTGACCTGTTCATATACCGGGTTAGACAGTTATAAGGTTCATAGACGCCGATGCCTTGTGTAAACAATAACAAACACAAACAAAAATGGCTGCTCCAGTGTATGATTGCTGATGTTACTGTCTGTTCCAGGCGACACTACGACTCGAAAATTGCTTACTATTTCTTCAATTTTTAATTAAAATGGTTAAAACATAACGACCTACCTGGAATTGTCACCCCATTACTTTCTTCGTCGATAAAATCCTTTATTCTCTTGTAAATTTCACATTTTTCGACACTAATCAATTTCTCAGAACATAAACATTACCACTGCGCCTGCGTAAGTTGGGTCACTCGTATGTCATGTAGGGGTATATGGTAATCCACAAATCGGGTGCATTCGGTTAATAATATTTGTGCGGGAGGATTCGCCGGTTTGTTTTGCGGGAGTGCGAGTGGTGTGTGGGTGTGTTTAGATTTATTTGATTATCGGTATTTTATTATTCCTTGGAGATATTCATAGTATTGCATGTCTCCTAAAATATTCCTCACAAAACATTTATTTTTAGCATTAGATGGCATGGTAACCTTTCTGATGAAGTGTAAATTTGTACGATATCTTATAATTTTATGAACTTAAATAGTTTGTATCTATTTTTATTTATATTCGCGTTCCACAGACACACAAGATTTGTTTCAGATATTGTCGTAGAATAGATAGAAAAAACGAATCGTAGAAAATTCCTTGAATAATCGATCACCCTTTCATCACATACATTTGCAATTTCACGATGATGTGTGCATATAAGAAAGTGGATACTGGGTAAGTGATTATTATTATTTACAATTTCAAGATGAAGATTACGCGAGATGTGAACCAATGTATTAATCGTTTATTTACTTATTTTGAGAAACAGAGTAAAATGAATTATAGACGGTATAAAAGTTCCAAAAAAGAGATTGCCTACGCATTGAATATACCCTTAAAATCCGTGTACGGGGCTTTGAAAAATGACTCATCTAAAACGCAGGAAAATAAAGATAAGCAAGGTTAACAAAATGTTCAACAAAATTAGATAATTTTGACCCGATGACAATAAGAGAGACCATCCAATGGCCAGTATGTAAGTGCAGTTAATTCAAATACGTTTCATCATTGCTATTCGACTTTTACACATATGCCATGTTCTGCATAACATAACCTTGATTTAATAATTATATATATATAACATTATACGGCGTTACGCGTCAACATAGCACCAAGAAATAACCCACCAGGTAGTGGATTGAAATTTGTTTGCAGCTTTGATAACATGAGTTATTGTACTTTCAGGCAGAATTATTAAGAATTGTGACCTTACATCGTCCTCCTCAACAATATAACAGAGGCGGATTTAAGGGGCCCCCTAATTTTCGACAGTGCTCTTTTTTACTGCTGAAAGTGCCCTTTCTCAGACCCAAATATGTCCGTTCCCAACCCGTTGCAGGGATCCCAAATGACCCAAACCATCGATTCAAACACACCAGTCTGGTAAAATTAATGCTTTCACTTTCAAACGAATTCTTGTTGTTTAGCTGACGGTGCCCTAATCCTATAGAGTGGCTATAGACAGACATGAGTGCAACTTGATGTAGCATTGTTTCATGTGTGGACAGTACCATATACAAGTTACAATGCTTAAATAGTGAAGTGGCTAGGGAATAGATTCGTCTTTTTTCCCATCATAATGCCTCGCTGGCCTTGACAATTTTCGAGTCGCATGTTCAACTGGCTTTTTTGCTCGATTTTAAGGCTATTTTTCAACGATTTCCGAACGTTTACTTAGACGAAAATATCAGCCAAATAGCTCTTGGAATGGCTACAGATGCAAGGAAATGACGGATAATTTTCTTGGGGACTCCCCCCCCCAAAAAAAAAAAAAATCCCCTCTCAGCGGCGTGCCGCGTCTCCGCGGTCAGTGCCCTCATTTTGCGGCACGCCCCCTTTTCAAAATTCCTAGATCCGCCCTTGTATAAGACCGACGACATAGCCCATCAGCATGGACATTTAGTCTTGCGGTTACCAGTAAGGCACTGCGAGTTAAACCCAATAGAGATCATACAAGGTAATAATTAAAGTATCTAAGTCTCTAACTCAATATCATCCAAAGTCTTGCACGTTGAAAACACGAATTATTTGTCAATTTAAATTAACATTGATGTTGTTATCTTACCGGGAAAAGGTAGGCTTCTGATATCCAATATTGAAAACAAAATAAACATTTTACCATTGTTTCGTTGTACCATAGTTCGTTTCATCGTCATTTGTAACAAGAGACCAGAAAGAGCGAGGCTAGACATATTCCACAACTCATGTCATACGGCGACGTCATAACTTATCTGGAGAGCATGCGCAATAGACTGGAATAACCAGACGCTAGAAATTTCTATTTGGTTGAGACTCATGCCGTATTTCGCTGGACCTAACTTATTTGAAATTAAGAGTCAAAACGGAAACAACTGAATGTAAGTTCATATACAATCAGATTATATTATTATATGTGTTGCGACCCATTTCGGTCAATTTCTAGGTCCCAAATATTAGCGATTTAGCTCCTTTAACACTGGAATTTGGACGGCAGTCAAGTTGACGGCATTGAAAGATAATAAATCTTTTCTTATCTGTGATGTTAAAAAGGGTTAAAACATTCATTCATGGAAGTTTTTACTACACCTTATAACATTTTAAGGTGTCTCCACATTAAATCAAAAATACTTTCATTTTAGCACAAGAAAAGGCTTATGTCGCCCGAAGAAACACCAATTTTAAAATCAAAGACGTTAAGCGTCTGTTCCTGGAAGCCAAGGCTAGTGTGACATCTGGAGACTGGGTTAAGGCATGTCAACACGTCATAGACAAGGTGGGGGATCGGTTTTGGGAAGCGGGAAGATTGAATGAGGAAGTACCACCAGTCGTGATTTCGTTCGGGACTCGAGTGACAGCGAGTAGGAGAGTGAGGATTTGGGCGACAATGTCAGTGGAGAGAGTGATAGTGAAAATGTTGCTGAGAATATGGAGGGAGGTGGTGTTGCGAATGAAGATTCGAGTGATGATGATATAAACGTGTGTAGTGTATGTGATTGTGAGAACCCACCGGGAAGTGAATCGGATGCGATTGTGGATTGGGTGGGCTGTGATTTGTGTGAAAGGTGGATGCATGTGAAAGTACTGGGAAAGAGATTGACCACGATTTGACAGTCTGAAAATAGTACTAAAAGTCGTACGAAGGCAAATAAAATATCTATAGCCTACTTCCAAATTTCTATGACGTGTCACTACAATATTGGGTCAAACTTTGTATATAGTTTATATCAAATTCCAAAAGCCACGGACTTTAATATCTAAGGCAGTGGATTAAACAACTGTGGTCTAAAACCCAAATAGCAAATTTATATTACCTCCCGTAAATAGCTCATTTAAACAACTATTTAAACATGCAAGTAGTACGAAACAACCCGAGTCAAATCCACACCCCTGTTCGATTTGGGTCATTCCAAATAACTAGGTCAAGCATGGCTGTCTTCAATACTGCAAAGTAAATAAATAACGATTTTTCAAGAGAGAAAGGTTATATAGCTTGATTTGAAAATAGTTAACGTGCGGTAGAAAGTAAAGGGATGACAATTTCAGGTAGATCGTTAAGTTTTAACCATTTTAATTAAAAATTGAAGAAATAGCAAGCAATTTTCGAGTCGTAGTGTCGCCTGGAACATACAGTAGGTTATAGTATGTGTAGGTAATTCCTAATTCATCAACAGAAGATGAGATTATGTATCTTACTTATTTTAAGTTCATTGTAGTAGACTGTAGGATCATTTAGTCAGCTTCATGATGTGTGTTATGTAAAATTCTCACGAACAAGTAGACCTCTTAACAAAACACGTCTAGCTACTGTCGGACATATTATATTATAGGTTCAGATGAGTCGTGAAAATGTTGTAAAAACAAAAACTATTGCTAATCCTAGAATACATGTAGAGCGGGCTATAAATAGACTCAAATGGTTCAAAGTACTGTCAAGTACTATTCAT